ATTTTATTTAATTTGAATATGCTTATTTGTAAACGAATCCTCTAAGATTTAACTTGAATCTGGAAGAACTACTCAAATCATATTTTAATGACCAAACAATACAAATATCCCCAGATAATTACTATCAAATTAAGTTGAAAAACTTTTATAATAGAAGATTTTAAGAATATGAAAATTTTTCATCTATTTATGACACACAATTTGGATCCTATCAAGTATGCTAAAATACTTCATAACTCTTATCTGAATATGAAATATATTGTGTAATTAGAACAATAACTGGAAAATTTTATTAGTGTAATTTGAATAGAGTATAAAATAACAATAGAATTGAGTTACATTGTGAATGTGATAAGTTTGGTGAGATTTTCCTTACAACCTCTACGAAATTAATTGTAAATGCAAGTGAATCTCCTAAATAAATATATAATCTTGAATTAGCTTCCAAATCTGAAGACATATTACCTTTATTACTTAGTACATGTTCTTTGTCATTAATATTTCTGAGCATTTTTATTTTTCAATTATATATAGATAAAAAAGTCAAATAAGAGAGGTTTGATACCGAATAAAGTAATTTAAATCCACCAATTATAAAATAAAAAAATAGTCTAATATATCATGGTACTTCTAAAGTGTATATAGAAAAATTTAAGGTAACACTTAATTTTATATTAGCAAATCCATTAAACTATTTCATTATTTTATTATAAAGACAAAAATATTGAATTTAGTTATAGAATTTTAGAAGTATTCTCTTAATTCAATTTATAATTAACTTTAACAATTCTTGAATGTTATTTGTTAAATATTTAAGTTCTTTTGATTTGTGTTTTCATAATCCTCAACCCTTTAATCATTTTGTTGATGAGAATATTTTATAAAATAATTGAAGCAATATATAGGTTCAAAAGAATCGCTGCTTTTATTAGCCACCTTCTACAAATCATATTATTGATGTCCCCAAATCTTATCATCTATATTTTTTACATATCAAAGTATCAATTAAACTATCATAGAATTTCAATGCAATCAGAATAATATATATTTGCCATTATATATTTAGGAAATATTCTGATTTCACAAATCCTAATAGAACCGCTTACAGTATTTGGAAGAATATTAATTTATAGGTTAATAGCTAAAAGTCTTAAAAACATGGATTTAAATCCTGTGTTTCATTTAATGCACTTTTTTGTTATGCATAACAGTTTAGAAGAAATATTTGAAGAATTCACAAAAATTTGATAATAAAATCATTCAAATATTTTTATTAATTTCATTTTCTATATTATTCATTTTAGTTATATTTCTATATTAATATAGATCTGTGTTCATTGAAAATTTTATTTTTTTTTAAATATCTGATGGCTAAGCTATTGATTTTGTGATATCTCAGAAGCTTGAAATATTATATTTAACTATGTCATCATAAAAGTTAAATTGAAAAGAGAATCTTCAATCATTATTATAATACTTAAATTTCCAATTCATATATATAAATAGAATAGAAATTTAAGATGTTGTTGTTAAAAAAGAAGAATTAAAAATATCAACCTCCAAAATTTTTTTGAAACTCATTTAGTTTTGGATGATTGGATCTAAAAAGATTAAGTCTTTTAAAATGGTCCCCATATATAAATTAAATATATAAAATAAGATATTATTTTTAGATCTGGTTACTATAAGTTAAATTGGGAATTTATCTGATAGAAACAGGACCATATATTAAACATAATTGTCAAACTTTTTAAAAGCCACACACATATAATACATTATAAAACTATTTCTGAGTTGGAAACTTAATTTAATAATAACCACAGCCAGAGAATTGTTTGGTATTCCATTCTTCAGGATGAATCATTAGAACGTAAACTGAAGGGTTTGGGGTTGGTAAAATCTACGAGTATAAGGAAAGAAAATACCTATACTCTC